ACACACACACACACAGTGAGGGAGGAACATATTACTGCAGTAACACTGGGCAGTCTGTTAGCATAGCTTAAACCACAGTTCCTAAACAAGCGTCTGTTAAAATCATACAAGTGGACACCTCAAACATAGTTTTGGTGATCAGCTTAACCACACGTCTAACTTAAGAACTTTAAGTATATTCAATCGCTGGTAACCTTAGCAACAGGACTGATGCTTTTGGCCTTTGTTAGAAAGAGTATTGGAGGAGGATTTATCCTCTCTGAGTCAGGTTTGGTGTGTGTGTGTGTGTGTGTGTGTCAGCTGACCCAGGTTGGATGATCATTCAAATTTAATTAGATGGATTCCAGCACATGTTAATGAGTCCCATCTGCTCATAGTGAGGTGTATTCAGAGATGTCAGAAAATGCAGCTAAAAATGCTAAATGTGACACAGCTGATTGAAGACCTGTGGACAAATTGTCACAACAGATACACTGCCAGTGCTGTAGTCAAGACTACTGAAGTCATGCCCAAAAAAAAGATCTTTTTGAGACCTATTGAGTCAAAACACTGAGAAGAGCAGTACGAGTCTGTGACAAGACACCCATGAGACCAGACAAGTTCTTAGCCAAAACAATGACAAGACAAAGAAAAGTCAGAGTCAAAACATCCTTGAGACCTGGACCAGCATGAATCAAAACAAGTCCAAGTCAAAATGTCCACAATACTTCTCTGTCTCTGTCTTCTGAGTGTTTAGACTCAAACTGGTCAAACAAGAACGGAACAAGTCTGTGACAAGTTACCCACGAGACAAGACAAGTCCAAGTCAAAACACCTACAAGACAAAGATAAGTCCGAGTCCAAAGACCCACAGAACAAAACCCTGACAAGACCCAGACGTATCCGAGTCAAAACACTGAAATGACAGAGACAAGTCTGAGTCAAAACACAGACGGGAAAAGTCATAGTCAAAAGTCCACCTGATTTTAACAAGTCCAAGTCAAAACACTCATGAGACCCGAACAATTCTTAGTCATGACAGTCAGAGGCAAAACATGCATGGGACAGAGACATGTGTGAGTCAAAATGGCCATAAAGAGACAAGTCTGAGCCAAAGCATCAGTGACACTGAAACAAGGCAAACAACCACGAGACCAAGGTGAGTCCGCACCCTCAACAATGTCAGAACACACACAAGACCGAGATAATGAGACTGGACTTGAGTACTACAGCCCTGGTATATACTGTCCCACGAGTGATGAGAGCAGAAGGAGACAGCAGTCGGCGGGCGCATCACTCTCTTCCTCTCCTGTGAATGAGTGGTTGTCAACTGACCTGCTGAACTGTGAACCGGTTGCAGGAAGAGCTGCGTTAATCTGCTAATCTGATAACACACCACACAACCACAACCACGGCCACAGCCCTCCCCCACAGGTGTGATCGATCAGTGTTACCTTGGACAAGCTGAGCGGGTCGTGTCGGAGTCTCTGTTTGTTCTTCTGCAGTTTTCCAGGCATCATCTTCCCCGTCCGGAAGTCGAAACATCCCAAATCCACTGTGTTTCCGAGGTAACGGGACAACTGAGGTTTACTCCTGAACTTCTTCCCTGAAGGACTGATGGAAGGGGAAAAAAAAGAAAGGAAGGAAGAACAGAAGCAGGACAGACAAAGAAAGTGTGATTAAAGATATATAATATCTTAATTTTGCACCAAAAAAAATCATTTTCAGATGTTTTATCAATTTATCAGGAATTTAAGTTGTCTTATCTCAATAAATCCACCATTTTCTCCACTCAATAAATGAGTAGAGAAACATAATGAATGCAGATTCTTCCATATAGGTCCACTGCTAGGTACAATTAAGCATTTACCATCCAATCGTGCTCTGTGGCATGTATAAAATGCTGAGCAGCAGTTGATTGTAATGCTGTCAGAGGGACATTATGGTAGAGTGGCAGTGCATAAACCCATCATTACAAAGATGAATGCACATTTGAGAGTTCGGTGGTGCAAAAAAAGAGGCATAAAGGAAAAAAGTGATACGGTCAGATGAGTCATCCTTCACCATATTATTGACAAGTGGGTAAGTGTATTAAGAGAATGGTAAGAGATGAATGCTAGACCCCTACAGTGGGTCCACGTGTCCCCCTAGAGGTAAAGGTCATTGCAAGTCAATACAAAGTTGTTCTGAGTGATCTCCTTTATCCTATGATGAAACATTCCTACCCCGATGGGAGTGGTCTCTTTAAGGATGAAAATGCACCCATCCATAGGGCACATGGGCTCCCTGAATGGTTTGATGAAAATGGTGTGAATCATATACTGTGGCCTCCGCAGGCACCAGATCTCAACTCAATTAAACACCTATGGGACGCGTTAAACAGCACTCTTCACCACCATCGTTAAAACACCAGAACACCAGAAGAATTGTGTTCATCCCCCCAGTAGAGCTCCAGAGACTTGAATCTATCTACTAGAATCCATGCCAATGTGGTGGCACATGGTAGCCCAACACCTTACTAAGACACTTTATGTTGATTTTTCCTTTAATTTGCCAGCCGTCGGTACGTTGGATTTGAGACAGAATATCAGTGGTGATATCTGGAATTCAAACTGAACTGTAGAAATCTTTAACTAAAGGCTCAGGACACCTGAAAGCCCAAAGTGGTTGTTTGAATCATCAGAATTGATGTTTAACTCTGTCATACAAAACTCAATAAACTCTCCATCCACTCAGATAATTACAATTTACACTCATTAGCAACACTGACAACTGCCGTCTTCACCGCCGTCTGATGGTGCAACCACAGAAACACCTCCTAGCCAAAGGACCTTAACGCAGCTCAAGACAGAAGGCCTTTCTCAATCTGGGTTCTTGTCTGTACTTGCGTTCACATTTTGTCAAGTACTATGCAAATGCCTAGAAGTGTTCTTGCTCCATCCGTTTTATCAAGGATGACGTGGACTAGAATTTTAGTTCTACTACTGTTGTGCCACTAAAGATATTTTTCAAACAAGAATTGAAACATTTATATTTTAATTATGCTGTCGATTGTCAAAATAATGCCTAGTCGATCATTTGTTCTGATGTTTCGGAGTTGTGAGGATCAACCAGTTCTGCAAGACCTGCTGGTCAGCATCCATCCAGTCTTATCTCAGCAAGCCCTTTGGAGATTTACTGATGGCTCTGTTGTCTCTGCAGCACTTGAGTAAATATTCATCTGGTACATGGAAAAGTGACTTAATACAAATACTGAAGGTCCTGGACCAAACCTATTAAATTGATCATCTTAAATTATTGAAACGATACATGAAAGTTTAACTGGGAGAATGCGACTCCTGAAACTGATGTGAAGCAGAGGAGAGTCTGTTGGAGTTGTTGAAACTACAAAAACACTACAACTGTACAGAGGTGTAGAGTGGAAGATCCTTCATCACAAATTATCTTTGGTCAAATAAATACTTGCCAAGAGCACACAAATCTGACAACAGGCAAGATTTATTTAGGCATGCTATCAAGTTACTTAGTTAAAAAATCATTAGCAAATCAAAGTTATTTTAACTGGTGAAAGTGACGGTCAGAACCGGCTAAAAATGAGAATCTGCAAGCTGACTGTTCTGTACATGGCTGCTCTTTGCCAGTGAGAGAGACAACATGCTCCCACTGTAGGCTGTTGTAGAGGAGAACGCTCCCTCTGCCTGTGTTGCTTTCACAGCCTCTCTGTGGTTTGTTTCCATAGCCGGTCTGCTCCGTGTGCAGCTGAGTAGAGCCACTGAAACTGCTGTTTTTATCATCCTCTGTGAATGAAGGATTTATTTCCACCAAGTTTGATGTGAAGTTTTATTTTGTTTCTGTCCCCTTGTTTGGGTCTGAGATGCTGGTGCTCTAGTGTGACATCCAGTGGCAACTGAAGTCAGTTTGCTTAGCTTACACAATTCCTCTAAAAGTCACTAATTAGAACGTTGTATCTCATAAATCTGTACAAAAACCCAAGTGCAAAAACAACAATTATGTGCCAGACAATTTCTTGGTTGTGAGCAGTTGCTAGGCAACCAGCAGAGACTACAGGAAGTTACTGTTCCACTTGCCAACTTTGAACTCCCGAGGATGCGAGTTCAAACTCACTTTGTACAGCCTAATCAATCCGTTATGACATCCCATCTGACACCAGCAGCAACTGTCAAACACTTCCTCATTCACTGCTCCGCACACACCAACGTTTGCGCTTCAGTACTTACATACAGTAATACATCCCCTAGCCCCTGACTTTACCCGAAGCTAACCTTAACACTAAAAAGCCTCAAACGGCTCTTTGAAGAAGTACGGACCAGACAAATGTCCTCACTTTCTAAAACGTCTTCAAGGTCTCTAAAGGTCTGAAAGTGTAATTGGTCCCCATGAAGATAGAATTACAAGAGCAGACACACAGTCACTCAGCTGTGTCTGACATGTAGGTCAGCAGCAACAAAGATCAGAGGCCGTGAGAGTGTGTGTGAGAGTGTGTGTGAGAGTGTGTCACATACACTGTGTTTCATTTTGCTCCAGCTCTTCATTGAAGCTATATGATGCTTACACTGAGCGAAATATTCAAACTGAGAATATCCATATATCGCGTCAATCAGAAGTGAAAATAAAACATGTGTTTGAATGAAGTTTGTAGAGCTGGAAGTGGTAGTACTGATGGAGCCAGCGGAGGCCCCAGCTGGGTGTTGCTGCTCGTCCAGTAAGTCGACTGCTGACTACTCTCCTTGCTGGAACTGATGAGTCACATTACAAAGTAAACTGAAAGTAAAGCTGAGTCTCTGCTCCGAGCCGCTGATTACCCTCGTGTTCAAGGTTCAGGATGTGACGGAGCTCAGATGTTTTGGAGCGGTCGATCTGATCAAGCCGCGCCTCCGCCGCTGATCAAACAGGAAGTGAACGCAGCCTCTGAAAACAGCAGACGGCTCTGCGGCGTCACAGCCTCACCACAGACCTGCACTGCGAGTGACACTGTTTCCTCTACGATCTAACGCAGTAGTTGTTGGTGAAGATACAGAACCGGCAGGAATGTAAAAGCTTCAGACTCAACTTTGATCTGCTTTAGAGAAGAGTTGAACAATATGCTGAATAGCTCTTGTTCCGATTGAATGTGAATTATTGTACGTTTAATTGGACAAAATAAAATGTAATGTACAGGAAAAGTGCACGAAGAACAAAACAGAACTGACCCAGCAACTTACCCATTACTAAATGTATTGATTGATTTATCAACTAAAGGAAGAATTGGAGCACTTGTGTGAGAGAAAAAAGGGTCAACAGAGGCCGAGATATCCTTCTGTTCAGTCAGTAGTCCTATTTTTAATGTGTTATCTTAATAAATGCTTACATTGCAAAATGCAAACGTACAATATTCATATAAGTATAAATAGTAAGTAAATTTAATTTATTAAAGCACATTTAAACACAAGTATAAACTGACCAAAGTGCTGTACAGTGGATGAGCTAAAAAGACAAATAATACAGAAAAACCACACATTGGACCATAGTTCAATAATTCTATAAAACATGAATAAAAATATAACTGTGCTTAAACAATGTATATAAATGGGGTGGACAAAATAATAGAAACACCTCTCTATATAATGCTAGTGACAGAATTCAAGAGCACTGCACACTAGCTGCTTGAAAATGATCACAAAGTGGAATCAACACCTCTCTAAAGCAGTGGTTCCTTTACAGTCACAACACCCTGAATAATCAGCCCCCCACCAACCTCCAACCCCCATGTGTAACACATGAAAGCTACCAAACTCACACAGGAAGACCATTGCTTTGCCCGCAGACAGAACAAGGACTAACTCGTGCCTTAAGTTTAATTAAAATGACGGCTCCTTCACAGCCAACAGCCAACATGTCTGCTTTAGGCCTACGAGCACAGTAATGGAGTAGAGCTGCACGTAGGGTAAAAACATCATATTGAGATTATTTTGACAGATATTGCGATTATCATTTTAGCAACAAACTATTAAGTTCATGATGATGTGACATTTGTTGGGGTCTGTACCAAACAAACATGAACTGAACTAGGCCTGTTAATATGTATAAAACAGAGAATACAGCCTTTAACACGTACTGTTTTTGAGTTCTTGCTCACTGTGTTGAATGTCATTAAAGGGATGATGGGGTCGCAACCCCCGGGTTGAGGACTGTATTGGTTTTAGCTCGGTGTGCCTAATAGTGCTGGGCAGTATGACCACACAGTCGTGGCGGTTTCATGGTATATTACGTTTTGTTTAGTTTTTTTCCTTTTTTGCATGACTGGGCCTGTAGTGGCTCATTCTACTGCCAGTAGCAGATACAATAAAACAATATTTTAATGTCATCATGTACATTAATCAGCCATAACATACTGAGCACTGACAGGTGAATGAATAACACTGATTATCTGGTTATCATGGCTCCTGTCAGTGGGTGGGATATATTAGGCAGCAAGTGAACATTTTGTCCTCAAAGTTGATGTGTTAGAAGCAGGAGAAATGGACAGCGTGAGGATTTTAGCGACTTGACAAGGCCTACATTGTGATAGTTGATGACTGGCTGCAGAGCATGCTCCAAACCTGCAGCTCATTTGTGGGGTTGTCTCCCCGTCTGGCCAGTGGTCAGTTACTATCAACAGTGGGTGCAAGGAAGGAAAAAACCAGAGAGACCCAAGGGCTCACTGATGCATGTGGGCCTTCTGATTCAACCAGATGCAGCTACTGTAAAGCTCAAATTGCTGAAAAAGGTTCTTCTGCTCAAAAGTTCTATTGCACACAAAGGAAACGATTTAAGAAAAAATATTCCAGGCATAAAACATTTGATCCTTCCCTAATATCCTGCCCCTTTAACTCAGTCAATCTTTCTCCCTTTCCTGACTAATCGTAACTTCATACGTTTAGCTACCTATGAGGCATTAGCATTTAGGGCTAACCATGTTAGCGTATCAAACCAAAACTTGCTTGCTAACAAGTATTGTAGATTTGCTAACCTAGAGTTAGCTAGCCTTTTTTAGAGCAAAACACTACTAACTAACAACCTGATGTATATTAGGCTTGTTAGGTTCGGCTTAACATCATTGCTAACTTAACTGATGCGACTATGTTAAATAGTGACACGTCATTTATCTTTAAATATCTTCCAATTTGGTGCAACGGTAGACGACCTAGCATTATGCATATCTTAGTCATCAACCTCCTGTGATGTCATGACAGCTTCTCCAAAAATACTTTTTCCCCAAAAGATGGTTTCTGTCCCTTTTTAGGTAGTTCTAATAATACTGATGTATATTACATTAACTCCTGTAATGCCGCAGAAATTGTTCTTGTAATGTTTGGTTTTAAATGATTATTTAAGAGCTATAAGAAGGGTCTTTGCCGTCATGGATTGAAGCTGGAGCCTTGCTTGTGTTTGCCGGGTTTTCATTGGAATTTTTCGACAGTGGAGGAAAGTGGAGAACACAACGTCCCTCTTTATATACTGGATGGTTCTCCCAGTGAAGAAAGGTGAAAGTTGCTGCCCCAGCTGTTTATTGGGATCAACAGAACAAAAAAGGCGGACTTAGGAAGACTTAATTGAGCGGTTTGGAATAAAACAGGACTTCTGAACTCAGGAGTTGGGATGGCACGGCCCTGGAGACCCCCAAGTGTCAGGACTTGAAACAGGCTGCTGACAGACACACACACAGCCACTGGTGAAGCTACAGTAACAGACTCTAATGTTTGTCAAATGATAACTATTAGAGTGATTACAGGGTTGTTAGCACTAATGTTTACACGACACCATACTGACCAGCAACGGAACGACTACAGAAGTCAACGTTACTCAAACCTTACATTCTTAACTTCTCTCACAGTAATACAACTGCAGCCACTTCACACTTGATCACAACTGCTACATGGATCAATAAATCACAGGCTGACTGATCGATCCCAGTTTCCCGTGGACCGGTCTAATCAGTGTGTATCCTGTAGTGTGATCTTATTTTATTCTTGATAATGATTCGTTCTATTTCAGATCCGGGACTTCCTGATTCACTTTCTTCTTTCTTCCAGCACGGCGAACAGAGCGGGACAGTCCGTCCTCTTTCTCTCCATCACTCGCACACCTTAATCGATCCCTGCGATTAGCTCCGATCAGTGACCGGAGCGATCGCTCAGTAAAACACCGGATGAGGACACCTCCTAGAACAGCGGTGGTTAAAGCAGCGGAGCAGAACGGCGACTGAGCGTCAACTGACGTTACGTTAACGCGGCTCTCCCTCCCTCCCTCCCTCCCTCCCTCGCCCGGCTGTTTACTGCTGCTTAATTTCGGGTTAAGTGAAATATAAGTGTCCCGCGTTCAGAAGCGAGCTGGGTGCCGGGTTTTAACTTGGTTCTGGTCCAGATTTAGGCTCAAGTTAGCCTCCGGGAGAGACCAACGTCCATATGATCTGAACTGAACTGGAACTAACGGCAGGCTGTTGAGTATCGATATCACACACACACACACACCCATGCACGCACGCACGCACACAGTCGCTCCCTCTCTTAGATCGTCTGTTGTGACAGAGTAATCACTCTGTGGTGGTCTTAAAAAAACGTACCCATTAGGTCCCAATTATACGGAAGCCGAGTGGTCGCGCCAGCATTTTTGATACCATTAAGTTAAGCAGGACTGTCTTGTAACCGAAACATCGAAGTGAATATGATGCACAGGCGCAGTTTGCGTTGGTTGAACCCCCTACTGGCCGTAATGCATGCAGGGATTCACGCAATTGTTTACTTGTTTACTTGTTTATATATTTAAAAAAAAAAAAGGTTTTAAGGATAATATAAATATACTCAAATGACAAAAGGAGTACATATTATAAAGTTAGGAAAAAAAACATCTTTAAAATAGAGCCATTCAGAAAACAAAAAAGTTTCACTTTCAGTTTCCAGCTGAGCTTTTCCATCAGAATTCAATTCAATTTTATTTGAATATCGCCAATACACAACAGAAGTTATCTCAGGACACTTTCACACTGCTCGATGGACAAAGCTTGCTCTTTAAAGTCCAGTTGAAATGAGAAATGTAATTGTAACCCTTTAAGATTGCACTCTTTCTCTCATTTCTTTGTATTTTAATATTAAAATCCAATCATTTTGTTTTCCTGTGAAACTGACCACACTGATTACTGTACAAAAACACAACTGGATCATAGCTGCTGTTAGCTCCCAGTGAACACAACCTCCACCTCTGACGCTGTGTAACATGTATGTAAACATGTAATCGTTTTGATAAATACCAGCAGGGTACAATTTTGTTCTTACATTGGGAATTCCTGACCTAAAAATGAAGTTTGTTGTGGCCCATGGCGCTGGAGGAGATGGGCCTCTGCATTTTTGCAGGGGCCACTGAGTATTGTACAAAAACTAAATTTTATCACTTGTACAAAAACACAACTTTATCAGTGATTTGGGTGAAACTGGATGATACATAACGGAGAAACATCCTCCAGTTTCTCTTCCTCAACTGCGCTAACTGCTAACGTAGCTGCCGTAAGCGTGTAACTGAACGGGGCTCAGGGGCTGATGGGTCATATTATGCAGTGCTAACTGCCTGTATTTACAGGAAATACCTAAATGTGTGGAAGCAAATAGCACTCTGATTTCCGTTTCAGTTGAGTCAACACAACCTTGTGTTGTATAATGATGAATACATTTCCTTGAATCCAGTTGATGTGTGTTGTAAAGAGTCTAGCTAAACCCTGGTGGCAATAAGTTAAAAAGGGGAAGTTTATGTCTGAATACAACAGATTGTGATCGTCTGATAAACTTTTATGCATTCATTGAAAAGAAGTTGAAACCACATCTAGGCTAAGACGTCTACTAAACTTTCACTTTTTTAATAGAATAACGCTAAACGAAACTAAAAGCCTACAGACAAATAGACATATTATAGATCAAAGAGAGAGGGCGGTAGAAACATCCTCTTGAAATTTCAGGGTTGGCCAGGAGAAACGCCCCTGTGCTGATCCACATTCAAAAAAGAAATCCAAACTGAGTAAGCAGGTGAGCAAAGAGGGGCTGGATAATTAAAGTGGTGTGGAGGGAGCAGAGGCCGGAGTCAGGCCAGGCAAAGATGTGAGGGGGAAACGAGAGCTGGGTGAGACACCTAGCAGGTTAAATAACTAGTATTTTTTTGAAACACAAGCCAACCTGCACAGTCATTTGAAAATAAAAGCGACCTTCCAGCGAACGTGATTTCACATTAATTCAGTCAAAATGTTTTATAATTCAACAAATGACTTTTATTAGGAACAAATAATCATTAAGACAATCAAATTAAATTGAATCAATTAAATGTTATATTAACTGAGATCAAACTAAGTATACAGATCATTTATGTATGGCGCGGCTGCTCTGATTGGATGACTTTCTGGTGCCTGCATTTTGAGGCAGAGTGATCACTCACTCCTTCCCCCCCCTTACACCTTCCTATGCCACTATTGAGTCACAGGCTCTGGGTTAAAGGGGCCTGACCATGAGCACTGGGAGAGGGGGCAGTGGATAGTGGAAGTGGTCATTGTTGTGGAAGGTTTGAATCGCTGTGTGGAGATTGTTATTTTTGTTATGTACTATGGATTCCTTGACATTGTCATTAATTAGTTATATGATTGTGGGAACATTGGGTAGGTATATCGACCAACGATATTCTTACACTGTTCCTCGCAATAACAAGGGTAGCATATATGTTCCCAGGATCCCATGTTCCAAGGGTCCTAAGTTCCCTAACCCTAGAACTGGGGAAAATAAGGCCCTGGGAACAGGAATGACCCCCTTATGAACTCTGATAGGATTGCAGGAAGGGGAATTGATGTTAAAGCTGCAGTAGTTATTTTCAGAAAAATAACTTTTTGTCATATCAGGTCCTCAAATACTGTTGACAGTGACAGTGGTGACGTCAGGCACTGTCATGTCATTTTAGACTCCCCGGACGCCTTCATGGTTGGCCAACATTATTCTCAGTTGAATTGAATGGCAGTTTGCAGTGTCTTTTCAGTCACTCATGCACACAGAAAACACTGCAGTCCTCACGCAGCTTCAGGTCTGTACGGATGTGATCCGGACACTTGCAGGGGTCGCTTACCCACCAGACCCCCCTTAACGAAGTGGCAGGCTAGAGTTTGCGTTGCGTTTTGAGAAAGTTAGTTACAACTAGTACTACAACCAAATCTATAAGTGTCCTGTTCTGGAAGAGTGTATCGTTTAATACGGCATGAATCGCATAGAACAAATATAACGTTGGCGTATTTTAATGTCATTTTAACCTCGTTTTCGGTTCCCCTCATATGATGTGCCTTGGAGCGACAGCCCCGGGCGGTAAACATTCCCTTAATTCCTGAAGGTCTTAGAAGTCCGTAAATTGTCCTAAGGTTCACTATGTCAGCCATGTCCGTCTCCGCTAATAACAATGAACTGATTTTATTGCCAGATTTTTTTAATGGAGCAACGACTCTGGCGGAGCCCCTCTGGGCTAAACTGATTCCAGACCAGCTAACAGTGTTGGTTAGTTTTACCCGGGAGCCTTGAATTGTGTGTTTTGGACGACGCTGTAGGCAGAGGGCTGGGAACCACGGAACCACGGAACCACGGAGAACGAGAGCCTGTGGACTCCAAGAGTAAGTGTGTTACTGTAGTTTGATGCAGACTAGCAGCTTGGATTACAATGCCTGCTTTTAGCACGGTGACGTTAGTGATGAGTTTAACTAACTTTAACTTTAGAGATGTTGCCTGTATGTTGTATGTATGTATGCTGTTAAGTCGACACGGCGGTAAAAGCTCATATAAACATTATATAACGTTAGAGACCAAACCACCGTGACGTAGAACACCGTTATCGACGTTAATGACGCTGTCAGTTAGCTACAGCATTGTTTGCTTTGTGTTTTGGTTGTTGTTTAGCTAGCACGCTAGCTAGCTATTGGCTAGGCTAAAGCCAAATAAACTTTAACTTTAAGAGAACTCGATATTGACAGGCTTGTTTTAAAAAGCACGACAAGCAAACGGGCCAAACTCCTGTATTGTGAGCTAGGATAACATCAGTGTGTGTCTGAATGTCAACCCTAACGTTCAAATCAGTGATGGGAAATGAGACAGATTCTTTCCACTGGTATGTTAGCTCTGCGGCTACTGTCAGCCTCTTTAGCCACATTTCACATTTTACACTTCCTCTCCACCATCACACATCTGTAGCCTCAGAATGTGCTCATTGTTGTTGTTGTTGTTGTTGTTTTCAGCAGCATGGCGTCCAGCGGCTTGGTGGGTGACTGTCTGTCTCCAGAGTCGACGGTGACCTCCCTGCTGTTCAGCTCGGGGCACCTGAGGAGCAGCCTGCTGGCCCCTGAACACAACACCACCTTCAGATACAGAAACAAGGTTCACTCTGCTTTTGCTCGTTTCTGTTGTCTACAGCAGTGATGGGGCGTTTTCCGTCCGTGTAGCCGAGCTAACAAACAAAGATGACGCCTTTATGTAGACCAACATGGTAGTTAGCTCCTCAGAAAGTCTTTTTTTTTGGCCTTTTATTGCCTTTAATGGATAGTGACAGCTGAAGACAGGAAAGGGGGGCGGAGAGAGAGGGGACGACACGCAGCAAAGGGCCGCAGGTCGGTTTTGAACCCGGGCACCCAGCTCCTCAGAATTTAAACTCAGATTTTAGATGGAAGTTTTGCATTGGGTTTTTGAGGAAGAAAATGAGATCAAAGGGGTTGCCACTTAACTTCTTTCATTTCCATACTCAAAATACATCACCCCTACTTATTTATGAATGAATTGATTGATTGCAGAACTATGGCTCAGCCTCGGCGGCGCTGGATGCCTACATTGCAGACTTTGAGAGGAGTCCTCGGAACAGCAAATCGTTGACAGGAACACTAGTTCTGCCGTGCAGTCCGCCCACCACACCAAGCAGGCCCAGAACGAGCACGCTCAGAAACAAAGATGGTAGGTCCCCAGATGGAGGTGCTGTTACTGAAAAGCAATATGTATTCAGTCATATCTATATGGTAGGATCTGGTATTACTGCAGATCTGAGGGCCTTCAATAAAAAAGTATGACTAAACCACTGTTTTGTTTTTTGTTTTTCTGTTGCTACCCTAGTTCTCAGGGAGCGTTTGACCGACAGGGAGCTGGACTTCCTGAACCTCCCTGTCAGCTCCCTCCATCACATTGGCAACCGAGACAGACTCTCCATGACAACAGATGAGCTGCTGTCTATCCCTTACGATGGCTCAATGCCAGTCACCCACACCTCAGCCTTCATGCAAGGTCTTTAAACGCATCACTCCCACCTCCACCTTCATCCCA